ATAACATATTATATATTTTCAATAGTTCTATAAAACATTATATTCCTATATATCAAAATATTTATAAACTTTATTAATTTGTATATATCTATTATATTATATACATATAATAAAAAGGTGGGCAAGTGGGTGTCGCTCTGCTGTACAGTAGGTTACAAGTGGGTCACTGTATAATGGATGATATTAAATTTGAATTCAACGATATAATATCATTGTATAAGAAAAACGATTCTGAGCGGAGACGGTATGTCAGTCTATGTTTAAGACATATTACATACATATCTATGGTATTAAACAAAAAATTGACCTATAATAATTAATAGGTACCTATAATAAATTCCAAATTAATCATATCACAATGTCCATTAGGTACTTATAACGCGTTATACATCAACAAAACCGTGATACTATCATAGATATATAATAGTACACTTTAGAAGTTTCAAGTACCCACGAATAATATTATTCAATCACAACAAAATAACTAAAATAGTTATTCTAGGTTTTTTAATATGTAATTTCGTCCAAATTTGAATTTAAAATGTCTGTAAAAAATAACTGTGTTCATATATTTTTTAGATTTTTTGGTTACAGTATGAACTATTTATGAGAACCTTTGTTTTAAATTTGCAATCCTTAGCTATAAAAACTGAACATTTTATAATTTATTAATTTCAATGATTGATAATTTTCGAGATTTTGATAAATTTTGTCAAAATTTGATCTTTAAATGCTTATAAAAAAAAACTGTGCCTATGTATTTTTAATATTTTTCAACTGCTATTGTAACAGTATATCAGGAGCCTTGTATTAAATTTTTACACTTTTTGGCCCAACAGATAAAACTTTATTGATATTTATAGAAAAAAAACTAAAAAAAATTGAAAGCTGTAAATGTCCATAAACAGCTCAAAAAGAGTCAAAATATTTTCAAAATTGTATGGTGTAAAGAAAATGCTAATTTAAACATTCAGTGAAATTTTCATGTATCTACAGTTATTTGTTTTTGAATTACAACAAACTAAGGAAATCGCTACATGGGAAATCGAGTGAATATTCAATGTTGTAAAAATTTGAATTTCAAACGCTCATAAAAATTTAATTTGACTTTCTTATAGACATTTTTTTTTTGATAAAGGTAGATAATCTTATAAGGAATATTGTGTTAAATTTTCAAATCTTAGATTTAAAAAGAAAAATTTTTACGAATTCTTAATTCAAAATAATTTGCTAATTTTCGTGATTTTTCCATATTTTGTCAATTTTTGAACTTTAAGTGCTTATAAAAAAAAATTGTGACTAAGGATTTTTAATATTTTTCATCTGCCTTTGAAACAACATATTAGGAGCCTTCTATTAAATTTTCAAGCTTTCGCAACCAACAAATAAAATTTTATTGATATTTCTAGAAAAAAAACTAAAAAAAAATGAAAAATGAAAATGTCCCTAAACAGTTCAAAATAAATCAAAATATTTTGAAAATGTTATCGTGTATAGAAAATGCAAATATAAACAACCAGTGAAAATTTCATGTATATACGTTCATTTGTTTTAGAGTTACACCAAAAACCAAAATCGATTTTTTGGAAAACTAATTTTGCGTAAAAATTCCCGTTTTTCCTTAATTTTTATGTTGTTTTTCCCGGCGCTTGTGAAAACTACTGGGAAATTTATACTTTTGACCCCCCAAAGTACCAACTAGATTCACTTTCCTATCAGAAAAGCTACTGATGAAGAAAATCCAAGCACTTTTACTGTCCTAAAACGTGATGACAGACACAAAAATAAAAAAAAAAATAAAAAAAATAAAAAAAAAAATAAAAAAAAAAATAAAAAAAAAATAAAAAAAAAATAAAAAAAAAAACACACATCATTGTAAAATCAATACATTCATCGTTTCACTCAGAATCTAAAAAATATCATATGCCACTGAAGGGACTGGCCTGAAAATAGGATTCGTTTGAATCTTAAACTGTATTAAAAGAGTCTAAAATGTTATATTTGGCTTAACTTCTACAGCACATCCATATTCCATCTGATATTCTGATGTGGTTTTGTCAATTGTTCCCCATGTGTTGTGTCTTGTGTCTATGAAATATGAATAGGGAATATTCTTATTTACAAAATGTTGGCTTACCATGTGTAACACTGAACTATAACTATAACTACCTACGTATGATGTATCAATGTATATTGTTTATATGTTATATCACAACTCATAATCAACTAAAATAATATTTATTTTATAAACGGAACACGGAAGCACGTTGAACAAAAATGACAGTATCTAACAGTAGTGGTGTATTTAAGGTATGGGGGGGGGCTAACTTTAAACAATATTATTTTAATTTACTATAATAATAATAATAATAATTAATAACAAAATATATACACAAATTATTCTCATACTAAAAGTGTATGCGAATATGTGTACCTACACTCCTAGCGCCATTGAACCATATACCTACATGAATATATTTATATGACCTAACCTATGAGTAACCAATAAAATATATTGATTTACCTTAGTACCTATATTATTGTTTTTATTAATGTATTATACTGTTCACTGTTAGGTGAGATCAGAGCTGTAAATGTCTTACAGCTCGCCGATCGCTTGTAACTGTAGTTATTACCAGTGGCGTAGACATTATTTCTGAAAGGAGGTGATCAAAAAAAAAAACAACATAGCTAAATGGGAAGGGAAAATTATAAAATCCCTCACCCTTTCTACACTTTTTACTAAGGTAATAAAAAGCCAATGAGAGGGGGTCTGACCACCACGTCCCCCCTTGTCTACGCCAGTGGTCATTACCTACCAACAATCTACATATAGACGTAGGTATTATATTTATAACTATTATCAAACATATTTGTACCATTGTACCAATATATTAAACAGGTTGGAGGCCACAAATTACGACACCTATACATCTATAATAAAACGAATATTTTGATCTTCATTGACAGCTATGCAGTGGTGGATATATCCTAGTTCTGAGGTGGGATGAATTTCAAATCCACAGAGGTAATGACGTTCAACCCCACCCATTATTTTACATTGTAATAATGTATAGTGGTGGTGAAAATCCCAAGGAGGGGGGGCAGTCCACCAATTACCCCCTTCCCCCGATATCCGTCACTGCAGCTATGGCTGTCTCATGGTCAAGGTGTACACTTTCAAATTTCATCTAAATTCTAAGGTTATGAATTTGTATAATGTTCTTACGTACCTGTGGGCCGTGATTCATTTTATTTTATTAAGTTTGATAAATATATTATTCAAAGATCTACCAACAAATGAACCATAATAAAATCTATTTTAAAAAGAGGAAATAGCCAGTAGGCAGTAGGTAACCGCCCTGCTGCACTATAAGTTTCAAGCACGATTAAGTATGATATAATATGACGTGTTTGATTGTGATTTCGAGTGTACCTCGTCGTTGAGTAAGGCACTGTAATGTTTATTGTACTAAATTTGAATTCAATAATTAAATCATTGCCTACGAAAAACGATTCTGAGTGAAGACAGCTAGTCTGGGCATAAATCTATTTTAGCACCCTTGTGAATTCTACGATTTTTTTTTTCCGAAACCTATGCATCACATCGAGTTATGAGCTATGATGCAGAAATTAATTATCAAAAATCATTCATTTTTCAGTTATCGCCTTACGAAGTCCACGATATTCGGTGTTTTACGCATGCGCGCTAGAATTCAACACATTCGTCGCGATCTCTCCGTTCAGAATCTAAAATGTGTATTGACCGTTTGTACTTTGTAGTATTGTTTTGATTGGTGAATGTTGATGTCAATGTCATGATGATATGGTAGTAGGTAATTCTTCGATACCTAAATCTTTTTAGTAAGAATAAGTTAGTAGGTAAGTACAAACGCGAAAGGCTGTATTATAATATTATAGACATGAGCTGGGTCGTGGATGTATTTAAATTATTTTTCGATAGACTTTAAAATTTCATAATATTTGTAGACGTAGGCCAACTGCACGTAGACGCCACTGAGTCGATATACAGTTTTTCGAAAAATTGCTAGAAATATAATAATATATTAATATAGCAAAGTTCTTCACCCATTATAGTTCTATATTATAATATTGCGTTTTGTCCCGAATGTGGAACACCAATGCCCCCCCTTCCCAAATGAATACATTTTAATAGCTAGTGAACCGTGTACACGTATGAGGTTTTATTATTTTTTGGCATAATATTATTGATGTTTTAATATTTATTGACATAAATTCAAAATAAATACGATGTTGGCATGTTGCCCACCATATTTATGGTGTACACAGACCACAGAATAGAATTTAATCTATTCTGTGCACAGACCATAGAATAAGTGTATACGCAGACAATGTTTTATCAGCTGTGTTACCCACAGTTCACCAGGTTTAAAAGATAATAATATTATGATTGTTATCTTTGTTACAACTGTGAACTGTTACAAATTGTAGCACTTTAGTATAATACCCATAAAGTAATATTGTTGGTGCTAGGTTTTCTACCACCACAAGACGGTCGTGTTTACATTCGGGCATCGTTAATTACTAATTATTATTATATTATAAATTATTACTATTATAATATAGTGATTAGTGCAGTCTGTCGTGGGCTCGTGGCTCCGTTTAATATTTAAGATAGACATTTATTATTAGTTATTATTGTTATTTGTTATTATTAAAGCGCATTATACATAATATTAAACGCACAATTATTACCCGACTACCGGTTTTATAGTAGTCGCAGCCGAGATATTCTAATTATTACAATAACAAGGACTATTTCAATTTTCAATAACAACAGGTAACGTCATGTACCTATAATATACGCGTAACATTGCCAACATTTGCGACTTGTGTTGTCGGTGAATTTGGAAAATGGGTACATCGCAGTGAGCGGCCGGGGTAGCTAACATTTCTATAATAGGCTTTCATTGTTGTTGTAGATAAAGTTGGTTTTGAAGTTTTGAAGTCTTTTTACCATGAGCGATAACGATCCATGCGAATGTTTTTGGAATCATGAGCTTTCTATGCAACGACTGCTGTCACTGGTAAGTAAACAATGTATTGTCATTTAAAAACAATACTTTTATGTTTATCTGTTTAAGTGCTTCCTATATAATAAATTATAATAAACAAACATTAGGTATTATACCTAATACATTTATACTTAAATAGTTTATTTTTGATTTATCTCACATTAAATAGGCTATTATATATTATTATTTATAAAAAATGCAATCAATATAATGCCACATATCTGTAACGTTCGGTCTCTATGAATTCCAACTTAATATTTAATATTGTTAAATGTTCATACAAAACAATATGTCATGACTCATGATACTTAAATTTATTGTTTACATAATTTATGTTCTAAATGGGTACTTGATTTTTGTACACATAAAAACTAGATTTTTTTTAAACAATCACATTGTACCTACCTACGCTTAATGAAATATAGTCTATAGATATTCTAGTAAAATTAATAATAAAATACTTTTATCATAAATACTGCTGAATATAAATAGGTACATACCTAAGTAGTTATGATTATTGAGGTCACAGATGGAATGTTCAATTTATTCATAATAACTAAGTTCAACTGTACAAGTTATTTTTTGTCGTTAGTGATGCAGTGGAGTATATAGAAATAATTTTTGGGGTGGGCTATAGTAGACAGAAACTAGCTAGTGATCTATTACTTAAAGGTTACTGTCTAGTGTCTACTATATATTTAACAGTTTCTATAAATATATTCGTATTTGTTATTTTTCAACAAGCTATGAAATATTATATCTTATAATAGTACCTAATAAAATGTATTGTTGTTCTATTTAAAAAGACCGTGATTTGGGGGGGGCTGCAGCCCACTGTACCCACTGCACATATACGACACTGCAATGATGTATATAAAGATCATAAAATGGCCTGTCAATGATATATTTTTTACTCTTGATCCCCAAACTTCAAGTTTTCATCAAAACATTTCTCTACTTTTACTGGCTAATAGAGACTTACAATTTTACTAAAATCTGTCGCCGCTATAATTATATTATCCGAGCAACCGATCAATAAAATATCCAAACTTATCATAAACATTTATGAATGAAGTAAATAATATTCAAGACAGTAAATTGTAACCTAATGAAGACGACTGAAATAATATTTTACTAAGATAAGTTTATAAATTATTAACTAATTTACTGTCAATTTTAAACTGCCTAAAATAATATTGATTGTTAACCTGTTAGAAGAGAGAGTTGTTCATACATTTAATGATTATTCAATTTTGGTTTTTGACTACTTTTATAAAATAAATTAGTAAATATTTAATTTATTTCAATGTAGGGAAGGCTGGTGTCACACTTGCAGATATTTTCTGTAGAATTTCCGCATTATCGAAATTTTGCCCGCTCTGAATTTCCGGTCTAATATATGTACTATGTACATGTATTTAAAACAGCTTGTTTTGATATCTGCTAAATTTTCCACCTCGGATATAATGAAAGTGTGATATTAGCTTAAATTAAAAATTATCCATACTTATAATTAAGTAATAAAAAAAAATTGTTGTAGCTACGTCAGTCACAGTCGGCATGCACAGATATTGATTGCTTGGAACCAGGTAAATTTATTGATTTTAAGTTAGATGATTTGCTAAAAACTTTTATATTTGTAACATTAGAAAATATTATAAATAATGTTTAGTTTTTAATTTTAATTTTTAAATGTTTTTTTATCAAGCAATTTATTTGTATACAATTTAATAAAAAATTGTTGTTTTTTTTTTTTTGAAATAACAGTATTAATACTGAATACCAGTTAATTGAGAAAACATTGTTTTTGATATTTGGTATTCTTGCACAAACAAATTTAATTATTTTAAAATTATTATGTATTCAATAGTACAGTAGACCTATAAGGCAGTACTTATTCTGTTTGATAATGTTTAGGACTATTATATAACTTATGAGTATCTATCTGAATTATAATATAAAATTTAATTTTCATAGTGCAAAGATTGGATGGACCATTGGCATCAAATAGTGAAGATACTAATTTCATCTTATTAACCGGAATTTGGGTTGTTGTTGCTTTGGCTTTGTACTTTATGCGTCCTAATCCGGCTCGTGCACAAGAGGAAACTATAAAAAAATTACCATTTGGTGGATCTGACAATAGTGGATCAGATGTATGGATTGCATTAAAACTCATTAAGAATATTTCAAATATTAATGAGAATATTTTTATTTTCAGGATCCACCATCGCCACCTCCTCCATCAACAGGAGCCCAGTGATGATATAATATTTTGACGATACATTCTACAAGAATTTTGAGCTCGCTCTATAATATTTTGACGATACATTCTACAAGAATTTTGAGCTCGCTCAATCTAAAATTCCCTTCCATTATTCCACAGATAATCATTATAATCACATAGATTTAAGAACTTAAAATTTTAATTAAAGTTTCCCACTTGACTGACAAAAGACACTGTACTAAAGTGAAACATCTATTCATTGTTTTTATATAACAAAAAATAAAAATATACCTTAACTTTAAACATGATAAAATGTTATTATATACGCACACATAAGATAATACGTTTTCTTTTTCGTCTATTATGACTAGAGACCAGAATAATTGTATACATTACTATATTAATATTGTGTGTATGCACAACTAAAAAGGTTCTATGTGGGCTTTTCAAATCCAGCTGATTCCATAGACAAAGTTATATTTTGTTATCAAAGCATATAATTTGTATATTTTATACACTTTTTAATCTTTCCTTGGTCCTCTTTAAAATAAAAACGAGGATTATTATGTTGATTTTAAATAATCACAGAAATCTTTTGATTATTAAATTTTATATTTTTTTTGCTTAACATTGTTTTGTTTTCAACACTGTATTTATAATAACTATGCTCCTCACAGAAAAAAAAATGTATAATAACATGGTTACTACCACGGTTTATAATGGATCTTTGATTAAACCCACTGAACCAAATATAAAATTAATACATATATAATATATATGTTTAAAATTCTAAACATTTTTTAATGAATACAAATTTGATTTACCTAAAATTTTTATTAATTTTATTACAGAGATAATTTGACTATCTATACAGTCTACTTAAGATATTCTGTATTAAAAATACTCTGTAGTTTAGAGTTAAAAAAAAAATTATAAACTTCTTTTTTATTTTGGTCCAAATTTTTAATGTATATACTGCATATTTTGTCAGTTTGATCATATTTAACACGTTTTTAGTGCATATAATTCCGGTCTCTGATTATGACAAACAATGAAGTTACATTGGTGATGTGTGTTAGTTGAGTGGAAAATATTATTTTTAATTATTATACATTATAATATTATATATTACTTTTATCATATGCAATAACAAGGAGAGAAAATGTACAGAAATGTATTTAGTATTTGAGTGTGTGAATTGATTGATTTATTATAGCTGTTTTATTTTTAATTTAAATCTTATTTTATTGTTATTTTGTTAAATTAATATTTTAATATATTTACAAGAACCGATAAAGCATAATATTGTTAATATTTCATGGGATTGAATTAAAATTTTCCATAATATGTACTCAATTATTAAGTTTTTACATTTTCTTAAACTAATATTTAAAAATAAAAATGGAAAGTCGTTCTGTTGAGTGTACCCAAGCCCGGATTAATGATCCATTGAGCCCCGGAACACCTGACACTTTGGGCCTCCTTTTACACTCATACTTTAAACAGTGTTTCAACATTTTCACTAAAAAAAATTTTAATTTCTATTTTTACGGTTAACCATATATTTAGTTTTTGAGAGGATGTAAATGTAATGTCTAATGATTTTATAATAATGAGTTTTTTTTTTGTGTCTATCTACATTTTTAAAGTAGAAAAAATGCTTTAATATTCAACTTTAATCATGGTTACTGATAGTTGGTATTTTAAAGAGGTCAAAATTGAAAATTATCACTACTTATAAAAATAAAAGGGATAATAGGTAACCACTCTGGCCTCTTATGTACATGTGGAGTGTACCTCGTCATTGAGTCACTGTAATATAATGTGTTAAATAAACTTAAATTTGAATTCAATGAAAAACTATTGTATATTTGTATACAAAAAATGATTCTGAGCAAAGTCTTGATGAGCATCAGCCTTTATTACTAAGTATCTTATAAACTATGATATTTTATTTATATTACTATTAAAGTAATATATTTTACTAGATATTAGTTATACAGTAGGTTGAATAATTTTTTGCCGAAAAGATTGCATTAGTAAATGTCATAGTGTACCTAAATAAAATATTACAACATACTTATGAGTATAGCATACAAATTACAAATTAACAACTGTATCTGGGCAGAAAATAGGCTAATTTAAAAAGGGAGAGGACCAACCCCGGAAGGTGCTCAAACAGGGATTTTGAGATTTCCAATGGAAATTTTTGTTTGTTAAAAGTTGCCATGGGTTATTTTGTAAATAAAAATGTATAAAATGGACACTAAAATAATAATTTTTGCTCCTTGGTCAAAAAGCTTAAATTCAATATCAGGTCACTCATATAATTTTTTTTAAAGCAGTCACAAAAAAACCAAAATTACTAGTCACAATATTTTCATACCCATACGCTATAAATTAATTTTACATAGTATTTTGGTGTTTACTGATAATACATAAAAAAGAAAAACAATGAATTATTCAATGAAAATATATATATTGTGCTAAATTAATACAATTTACAGTAGGTACCTACCTATTTAATTTACTTTTTATATGAAATTACAATCATCCAATCTGCAACAATAATTTGATAATTTTATTAAGCTTTGTCAATATATAAGTGTATGATAAATGATAGGTAATATTGTACAAAATGTAAAAATGAGGTATAATGTTAAATTAATAATTTGAATCATACACATCCACCTAACATTATTTAAATTTAAACAATTTACAATATGTTTACGTACCTACCTGTTACATATTATATTATGTATAGTATACCCTTTTAAAATTTGATACATATTCTTGTATGTAAAAGTATTTAAAATAATTATGTAAAATATACATAATATATCAGTATACCTATAAAATAGAATATAAAATAACACACATAATAGTATTATATGTATTATAAATATAAAATATATTCAAATGCAGCAGGTACGATTTAATTCATTAAACGTATTGTGGTAATTTATATGATTATTTCAAATATTTTTACTTAGTATACAGGAATATTTATCAAAAGTGTAACTTATACATAATAATATACCTCTTATATAGAAAAAAAAATGTAGGTAGGTACATTCTAAAACTCCAATTGTAATCACATTTATTCCTATTTTCTTGAGCACAATGTTTCAAAAATTATTAATTTATATATAATTAATTGTTATAGTATTTATAAATTATTGATATAAAACAAACATACCTGTTATAATTATTAATTAGTAATAAGAATAAATCCTTGTATAAACTATTAAACTACAATTTATAAACAAACAAACATTAAAGAGTACAATATTTTTCCGGCAGTCGAGTTCTAGTAAAGGTCAAAAACAAATGGAGTTAAATGCCAAAACATCTGTTGCTGTTCGTAACTTAACTTCGAAACAAAGCTTGGTGTCTTGCAAAAGCGTTCAGTAGCAGCATGATTTCTTTCTGTTCTCAAAGTGATAATTAATATTCCCAATCCTGCAAATGTATTTTAATTAAGTCTAACTTGTAATATTTAGTTCAATGAAATTTACCTTCAAATAATTGATCAAGTCTACAAAATGTTGTTACAACTTGTGTGATTTTTTTGGTTTGTACTCTCTAAACGATTATTAGTTCTGTTTCCTAAATATGCATGGATAATTCATAATTATAAATTTTAACAGTTTTGACTTGAGTTAAATACCTGATGTCTTGTATTTTGAAAATATACAACCCATTTGTCTTTAATTGTATTGCAATTTTTTTCAAAATAGTCTATAACACTTGTAGTTTTGGTGGCCATAAATTCTATGATAATCAGCTTCATTTCTTGAATACACCATTTCTTGTGCCAATTGTAGGCAGTGTTCTTTGTCCTAAAATAATAAAAGTTAAAACCAAATCAAAATGCATGCATACTATATTGTACATAATATTTAAAGTAAAATCTGTACTTATATTCATTTTTTCTGTAATTATTTCCAGTGAAAATAATCTCATACAATAGAATATGCAAATTAAAATTTTAGATTAAGGAAACTGTAAGTACATGATTGTGTTCACTAACAATTAGCAATAGAAGTAATTACTAACTTATCTCCTATAACATAAGGTCGCACACTTATCATCACAGGGCAATTTGAACAATATAAACTAAATCTATCAATGAATCAACAAAATATTTAGATTGTTCAAAAATGTTAAAAAATATATGTTGTACCAAGTTAGTGCCTTATAAGTTATTATTTTATTGTTACTTACCTTTGATAGTTTCATTTGGGCGTATCTCATTAGACCTACTTTTATATTGACCTCACTGAACACATATAATTTACATGAGCATATTCCAATTCTCGATTCAAATTCCTCTTCAACTCTTTTCTTTTGGCACCTTCGAATGTCCAGTGTCCTCGTGTTGAGTTCAGATAAATTGCTGTTTTTACTGTTTTCAAATTTTTTATGGCCTCCTCTAAATGTACCAAACTACAAAAATCATCACCTTTTTTTTAATATTTCACAATTAGATTGAGTACCTTCTGCCATAACTTATGATTATAATACATATTCACTAATAAAAATGTGATTGACACAACACTTCAGTACTTTACTCAAATATAATAAAACAGACTATATATATCTGTACTGTCTTTAAAATAGGAAAACAATTTTTACAAGAATAATTTTCTTATCTGATAATTTATCCACTGAGGAATATATCCGGTTAAAAATGTACATTTTATAAATAATAATTTATCTTAAATTACACATCTGATTTAAGAGTTTAGAGTTTAGACATTATATAGCACCCAAGTTAAGACGTAATATTTTTATGTAGTTATTCTTCAAGAAAATAATAGGCCAACTGATAATGTATATTTTATATAATAACATAATAATTATAAATAATTAAATTACTTGCATAAATTATATACATAATAATTAAACTTAAATTAAGGCGGTAAAAATCAGCAACGATAAGATGTTATCAATCATAGACCTATTAACTATTAGTTAATAGGTCTATGTTATCAATATTTAGACCAATCACAGCGAGAGCATAGGTTGCAAAAAAACAAAAAAAATTAAAATATCCCCCGACGTCTTGTTGCAAGGTTTATAGATAATTATTATCTATAATTTATAAACCTTGGTCAGTTGGTCGTGTTGTGCAACACCGTCTACCATAAGCACTAATTAGTAATTTACATTATTTACAAGTGTATTCAATATTATCCATCATTCATCTTGTATAATATTTTTCATAACTACTAAGCATAATGAAGCTCAGTATTTTCACTTTAAATATATGGTATTTACTATTTTGCTATTTTGATTTTTGCTTTATTACTTAGGTACTTATTATATTATTTTGATAAGAGACAAATATAATTTTAGGGGTTTGAAACTTACAGCCAAAGATCGTAATGCTCGAGTACGGGCATTAGCTGACAGTTTAACAAACAATGGATATGATGTTGTGTGCTTACAGGAACTATGGTGTGAGGATGATTACAAACATATAAAAGCATCTTGTGACAATGTATTTAAATACATACATTATTTCCACAGGTATTACTTTGGATAAAATGCTTAAACTATTAATTAATACCTAATTTTAAATAGCTTAGATAACAATTAAATGCATCAACAGCTTCTACAAATGGTTAAGACATGGAAGCATCTCTGATGGTAAACAGTCAGAACAGTCCCATTTGACTTAAGAAGGTGTAACACTATCATTTTTTGTCTCCTTAGAAGTGCGTAACATGGTAAATTTACGCTCAGTAGATCATGTTTACTGTTTAGCTTTGTTAGTTTAAAAATGTAAGTAAATAGACCTATTAAATAACTTGATGGTAAGAACTAAGAACAGTATCTGTCTATGTATGTGGGTTTTTTTACGATAATAACGTTTTTAAGAGAATTATGATTGTTTATAATTTATGCTATATTATGTACTCAAAACTTGTTAAAAAATTGCTAACTATAATAAACACCAGACATACAGACACAGATAATGTTCTTGCCATCAAGTTTCATAATAGGTTCATAATAGGTCAAATTTTTTAACTAACGAAGTTAAACATGATCTGCTGAGTGTAAATTTACTATGTTAGTCATTTGTAAGATGGAGACAACAAATGCCAGTGTTAAATCCTCTCAATGTAAATTCCTTGAGAATTTTTTGAATACTGTATACTATATACTATTGTAGACCATACATATAAACTGTTTAAAAACACTCAAAATGTTACTGGTCGTTACTAATTTTAACTTTCCAAGATTAATAAATTATAATTTAATTAGGTTTTTACAGCATTTCATCAACAGATCACCAACATCATTTGATTGACTTACATTTCCTAATTGTTGCAGATGTGTATAGCGTGTATTAGCTTATACAGTTTTAATAGATCTTGCAAAGTTAAATATGGAGATAACTATAATAAAAATGGTTAAAAGTTGCTTACGATGGATATCTATATTATATTTATGATTCATCATATAAATATGAATTTCAATCAATTAGTTCTCAACATTTTAATACCAGTTACTAACATTTTTGCTGTAACTTAAGACAAAGGAAACAAAAATTTGAATTCTTCTTTAGCCCTGTCTTTGACAAACTATCATAACAGGAAATTTACAGCCCTATACCTATTCTCCCTTCACATTATCTATTTTCTCTCAACTCATGCACCAACTTAAAGAAAATCCATACAATCTCCTTTATATACCATAGTTAATATAATTTTTTCCTGCTCTGTCCTTTGCAATTCAAGAACTGCACTTTTTTGCTCCTCACACACACCTAGTACATCTTACCAGACCACAATCTCCACCGGTTATTTTCTTCATAACGAAGACAGGATTTGTAATTATTATTTTCGAAATTTCCTATGATTTTAATTTATTATTAAAACTTAATACCAGTATACTACAATAATTTTTATGCTATAATATTTCATAAATAAAAGCAGTAAACCACATAAAAAATAAAAATCTAAAGTTTAATTTGACTTTTAATATTATTGTTATTTTTTTTTCAAAGTGGCATGTTAGGATCAGGAATGTGCATCATGTCACGTTATCCAATAATTGATCACCTTTACCATTCATTTATTTTGAATGGTTATTTACATATGTTTTGGCACGGAGATTGGTTTGGTGGAAAAGGCATTGGCATGTGCCGTATCAATGTCAAAGGCTTTATTGTAGATGTATACACTACACATGTAATTTATGTTTTTTTAATTATTGTTAAATAAGAAACTAAACTTTATAAACGACTAATATTCAACTTAAAAATAAACCACTTCTTATGATTTCTTTTCTTCAATAATATTATAGTACCTAATTATAAACAATTCAAATTGTGGAATGCCAAAAAGCATTTTTAAGGCATTTATTCATATTTTTTAGTTAAATAGCTTACATTTAAAATGTATAATATAGTCTATAGTCAGCAATTATAACTTAGAATATTTTCTATGGGATAATGGTTTGAGTGACATATTGATATTATTACCTATGACCTACACTGGCACAGCATACAACTGGTGTGTGGTAAATTTTTAATAATTCGTTTAAGCTTTAAAAAAAGTTTGGCATGTCATAGTTTGTACTGTTGAATAGTAGGTACTTGGTACTCAAATCAAAAATATGTACTTGATATTTTTTATTTTATAATAATTTCAGTTACATGCTTGTTATAATGCATCAAATGATAAATACACACATCACAGAATAATACAAGCTTTTGAAACTGCAAATTTCATTCGTGTTACATCGTCTGGTTCTGATTTAGCAGTTTTAGCTGGTGATCTTAATTCTAATCCAAATGACATTTGTTATAAGTTAATATGTTTGGGTGCAAACATGATCGACTCTTATTCAGCGGTAATTAAAAAAAAATGTATTTTTAGAAGCAATATTAAACCACTGTGGAATAATATTTTTAAAAACACTGTTATAACTACAGACTACAGTAAACTCTTGACTATCCACAGAATTATAGGAAATATATAAAAAGAAAACAAACATCAATGATTAATAAACATGTGTAAATGGCTCTATACAAACTTATATCATTTAATGATAAACAAACTGTCATCTCTACGGTTAATTCCGTGAATTGGTGTAGTCTGGTCACATAAACGAGGTATTTTTAGTGAACATATAATAAAAACTTCTAGTTGTACAAAAATTTTGTTTTTTAAGTCATAGTCGTAACTCGTTTGTGTAGGTCCCATACCATTAATTAAAAATGTTTAAAGCATTCATGCGTTGATTCTTGTCTTTTTTCGGATTAACCACGTTTGCCACAGCACTCAAATTTACAGATTCTACGGATAATTGGGTGTTTACTGTACATTAATAATAATAATAATAAAAGTTGATTATCATAATCATATTATATTATGTTTTAGTGTTTAAACAATAGTATTGAGTATACTTACAGTCATCCTGAAAATTCATACAAAGATGCTAATGAAATAAATGACCGTATTGATTATATACTGTACAAATTTAATGAAAAGAATTTAGTAAGTTTATTTTTTATTTTTTATCCATTTGTATTTTGTACCCATGAATATGAAAATATCAAAGATAATCATATTATAGAAAATTAAAATTGTTTAGACTTTACTTTTTGCACATTTGAACCAACTTGGCTGAATATAAGGTATAAAATGTCTAATATGTAAGTATAGGTGCAATTAGGATGGCTTGACGGACATAGCCCCTCAGTTTTATCCGTGCCCCTCCACCATTTTGTTATCATATTTTAGTTTAACATGGTGACGGCCATGTGACCGCCAGTGATCATCTGTAATTCTAAAACTGTATACATTTTTTACCATCAGCGCCCATAGTTGATTATTACTCCACGCCACATGACCGTCGGCAATCATGAGTGAATATGGTTTTATATTATTAACTTTTCCATGGCCCTAAAATAAAAAGCGCTGAGGCGTAGAGGGAATCATTGCAATTTTTTTGATGTAATAAACATACTTTATACATTTTTTTTCAAATACAATAATATATACAAATTAGGAATGACACTAAATTATAAATTTGGCGTACCGATGACACATATCATGTGGCCGTCGGCGGTTACATGGCAGACAATGTGATAAAATATAAATTATCAAGGTCTATGCTGCTGCTACAATTCAGAATTCTAGCCCCCCAGAAAATTTTTTTTGCTCCCATGATGTTCACATAATTGCCAATCAAAAAAATGTACTGAAATTGAACAATTCTATGTTATAATATAATAGAATGTTACATTTTTTTTAACGTTGAACCTTAAATGCTTAAACTATTCATAAATAATATAAACACAATAAAATACTACAATAAAAAAAAATATATGTATAGATTTGATTAATGAAAAGTTACACAAAATATTTAGGTTGTTGTACAGGAACATAGACATTCATTGCCACATCGCGTTCCTGGACAAGATTTTAGTTACTCAGATCATGAACCAATTGAAGCGGTGTTTGAAATATCAAAAAATACATTAAATATTGAAAAAAATATTACAAAGAATTCTGGTAAGTAAATCTTTTATATTTTTAGAAAATATTTATATTTATTTTTTACTATATTTTCAGGTTTAATATTTGAAAATGAATTTCTAAGCATTTTAAATATATCTCTGAACATTTGCAATGAAAAATCTGTAATAAACCCATTAATATCATGGCATTTTATAATATGTGTATTAATTTGTATACTATTAAGTATGTATTTGCAACTTGTCTCATATACTAATACCATTGTTGTTATTACTTTACTTATTTTCTTTATCATGTATATTTATAACTTAGTTATAAAATGGACAGAAAAAAATTGTGTTCGTGGATTTTGTAATCATATTGAAACATTATTTTCTAATCAATAAGACAGATTTTCTTTCACAATATACTGAGTGTAACAGATAGAACTGACAGATGTAATTAACTAACTACGTAATATATTATTACATGTTTTTCTTTAACTCACAATGTTTCATTCCTGTTGTCATCAAATCTTGCGCGCTCGATTTGAGGCACTTATTTACGATGAAAAATTCTGAAAATTTGTATAGACATAGGTCTTGGAAGGCAATACAATAATCCGTTGTCATTTCGGTACATTTGAATATTATAAGCAACTATGTAATATTATATTTTAATTATCTCAGTTCCCGCATTCTTTCCATTTCTTCGAGGGCGTCAATATTACATGGTGTTCTTCTCATCAGCTTTGAACAGTCTAATTGTTCAATTCTGAGGCCTTGCAAGGATTTCACTCTGCTAAGAGTAACTAACTACGTAATATATTTTATTCTAATGAATACTCTTAAAATTAAATTATGATTATTATCAAAATTTATTATTAACAAAGTGTTTTATTACATAATTAATCACATAGTCAGTTATTTCTGTTACACCCTGTTATTATTATAGTATTATTAACATTTAACATTATAAAATTAGAGGAGACCTAAGTACCTCCTAATTACTCAGAAATGTATTTAATCAATGAAATATGTTACTTAAATCTAAATCATTATCATTCCTTGCCTCTTAATTTGAATAACTAATTATAAATATGTTGGTTATAAGTTATTTAATTAGTTAGTTAACTCAATATAATGTTTTTCAAGACAAAATTTCAGTTTTAATTTAAATATTAAATTGTATTACAATAACTAGGTAGATAGTTTCTATAACTAATAAAGCTAGATTTAAATAAAAGTTATTTACTTTTATTCCAAAATGTTTATAGTAGGAATATTTATTCTATCATAGTTATTAGTTAATATTGATTGTATAAATAGTAATTTATAATTTTTCATCTATTTTGCTAGTATTGAATTATCATTATAATTATCAATCATTATATTGTTAGATAATTATCTTTCTATATTTACTTCAGCCAAATCACTGAATCTGTTTTGGGTCATAGTGAACCTGATGTTTGTTTTGAATTTCCTTATACATAAATACATACTAAGTACATCCACAATATTAATATATGTTATATATTTTATATAGGTACATAATATATAATTATTAAATATCTTACACATTGAACCCATAATAGTTTTCTTTATGCAATAATTTGAATTTTAACCAGGAGGTGCAAAAAGTAAAAGTGGTGGTTAAAATTGTTTATGGAAAGCTAAGGCCCTTCTAGACCCCCCCACCACTGCCCTAGTTAAACTGATGCCTATAAAGCAGTTACCTGTATGTAAAGGGTGTCCAGTGAAGATATACCCATTAGCCTTAGAAAGATATAAGCCGGATTAAAACCAGTTTTTCCAAAACCAAAAAATTTAATTAAATTAAAAAATGAAATATGTGTAAATCTGTGATAAATCTAAATATGTTTGACTCTGCGAGTATAATAAAAAAACAGATTTTTGATATATTTATTATCTCAAGAGATATCTCAATGGGTAAATCCTCTCGGGACACCCTGCATATAAGCATTTTTTATAATTCTGGATGATAGTGTCATAAAAAGATGATGAAAAAAAATTAACAAAAACATATTTATACTGTAGACTTCAAATTATTCAAAAAATTAAGTGTTTTTACCTTTAAAAGAATCATCCCTGTATATAATAAAAATAATAATATATATTATTAAAATGTAAAATATATTTTTAAATTTTAGTTTCAACCATTAAGTTTCATTATTTGTATTTTAAAATAAACAGCAGTTGTTTGTTTAATATTATTTTATACCATTGTGATAACTAAAAATATTAGTTTTATTATTTACTATGTAATTATAGTTTATACATGTATTAATGTATTATATATACATATGTGGTGGGATATGTTCACCAATAATCATTTTTATTAGTATTAAGCCAGGAAATATATATGTATATTTACTGTGTCAAACTTTAACCAGGAAATCTGACAAATGGACAATCCACCACATACATCGGAACCTAAATAGGCACTGAATGAAAATGTCGTGAGTTGGTTAAGTAAAAGCAAATTATTCACTCAATAGAATACTCACTAGAAAAAATTCAAAACAACATAAAATCATGATAAAAATAGTTAAATGATGATTGACAACAACACAATTAACTATAAAGCAGATAAGGAATAATATTCTAAAAATAGACAACGATAATGGTTATATAAATATATAATACCATCATAATTGGTTTTTAAAATAACGCTAGACAAGATAAATTGAAAGTACATGAGCATTTGTATAATAATACAGTATATTAAATTGCACAGCATTTGAAGGCCCTGGATAGTGAAATAATAGGTAACATAGTAATATGAACTATAAAAATACCAATAAACCATTCAGTAATTTAGAAGGTGGGTAAGTGGGTGTTTTACTTTACGTTAGGTATCATGAAGGTCAGTGACGCCCAAGATTTTGAATTTGGGGGTAAAGGTCAGAATACATTTTTTTCTATTTTATTTCTTAGTCAAAAGGCTTGAAAGTTTAATACAAGGCTCCTGATATATACAATAGCAGTTAAAAAATATTAAAAATACATGTGCACAATTTTTTTATAAGTATTTCGACTTGGAATTTCGGAAAAATGTATCAAAAAAAAAAAAAAAAGGTGGGTAAGTGGGTGTCGCTCTGCTTTACAGTAGGTTACAAGTGAGTCACTGTGATGAATGGTGTTAAATTTGAATTCAATGATATAGTATAATAAACTGTATAAGAAAAACGATTCTGAGCGATGACGGTGAGAGTAGGTACGTTACCCTGGCACCCCTTTGCCATAATTTTCCAAAGTAAATCATATCATTAGTTTGTAACCATTCGTAACCACGAAATCGGAATTCGTTTTAATAATCGATTTTGTCGATAACTGGTTTTGAGTCAAAATTACTTTTATATTTGTTAATTTTTTTTTTTTTGACGTTTTTGAAAAGTACTGGGGTCTGGGAATATTACATTTTGACCTCTCTACTAAATTAACAACAAGATTCGCTTTCCCATCATAAAAGATCTTGAAGTTGAAAATCTTAGCATTATTTTGACTACTATCGTGTATATACTTACAAAAAAAAAATTAGTACCATGCTTAACACTTTAGTAATTAACCGTAATTTTTTTTTTCTTAGCTAAAATTGTTTGCTCCATATAAAAAAGGTAAATTTAATACAAGGCTCCTTACATGATGTTACTATCTAGTGTAACTAAAAAAACCCCTCACACATCTGCTTGAAATTTTTTGGGGGTACGCGTGGTGCCTTATATTTTTTACCTAGTCTGCCCGAGTATTTTTAAATTTGCTGGGTGCCACTGATTGGGGTGCTGGTGTAACGTTACTGCTGCACCCCCGGGAGAAAAATGAATTTTCCGCTGTGGAATCAAGTTACGAATTCCGAATTTGTGGTTACGAATTGGTTACTAACTAATGATATGATTTACTTTGGAACATTCTGACATAGGGGTGCCAGTTTAACGTACCTGGTGAGAGTGCCTATGATATTACTAAGTACATTTGATGATATTATTGTGAATAAAGTACCTAGTAGAGTTTAGTAGTTTACTAAGTAAAGTTTTTCGAAATCGATTTAGCGTAAAATTCCTTTATTTTTTTTGTTTTTCTTGGAGATTTTGAACACCAATAGGAATATGGGATTTTGAACACCCCAATGCACTAATTACATTCAAATTCCCACGAACGAGATACTGAAGTTAAAAATCGAAGCATTATTTTGGCTACTTATCAGTTATCGTGTACATAGACAAAAAAAAATTAAAAAACATATTCATACATTACAATTTACAATACATTCAATACATACATTCATTTCTCCGCTCTGCAGAATCTAAAATGATTATGTAGTTCAAAATGTATAAAATGTTCAACTTTTAAAGCTAAGAATTGAACATTTAAAACATATAGGTTATTCTGTAACCAAAAAATCTAAAAATATAAAACGATGTTTTTTTTATACATAGTTATTTTATGTTCAAATTTAGACGATATTATAGATATTTAAATAATGTACTATTTTAGATTTGTGTAACACAAATTGTGTTATATTTTAAAAATATTATTCGTGGATACTTGAAACTTCCAAAGTATATTAATATTATTATGTAAAAGTCTTGAGGTGGTGTTGCACACTTGCACAGCAAGTTTAGGGATATTTACGAATTTTTTGTCCGAGCGCAGCGCAGCACTAATGTGGTATACGTACCAACACTTTGGCACACACTAATACCATTGAGAGTTCTTTTTAAAGTACCATCTTGATCCAATTTGCTAAAAGATAAGGTACTATATGTAGAAATCGAAGCACTCCTTCTGGTAGAAATTTTGTATACTGGATATAAAAAAAAAAATAAAAAATAAACACCTTTGTATAAAGGTGTTTCGCTCCGCTCAGAATCTAATAATGATTTTAGTAATTTTGTTGTAATTTATAATATTAATTCAACTTACGATGCTACAATAAAATATAATAACAATATAAAATATCCTGACTGACAAACCGTTTCCGCTCAGAATCGCTTTTCGTATACAATGACATGATATCATTGAATTCAAATTTAATACAATCCATTATACAGTGAACAACTTATAACCTACTGTACAGCAGAGCTACATCCACTTACCCGCTTTTTTAATATTCATTATTATAATATGGGAGTTGAGAGACAAAACCCTTATGGCTTATTTTGTAACCAATTTTTTCATCCCCGCATTGAAATATCCCGAGAACGCCTCTGAGTACCTATAATATAATGCCAATTAATTGCAATACTATTGGGCACTTTATTCAACTTGGTTTTATTTATAACATATTAATACACATCTGTTGTAGGGGTGGAATTTAGATTTTGAGTGTCTTACGGCTGACTAACGTGAACAAAATTTAAACTATCAAATATCATTTTCCTGCCTCC